AACAGCGGTGCAAATCAAAATCGTAGTTTAAGTTCCACTTAAGACCAAGGCTGACCTTAAGTTGTAGCGGTGCAAATAGCAGTTAAGGTGCCTGTATTTACCTCCGAGTGGTATACGCAGATAAAAAAGTCAGTGTAATTTAATCACGTCCAAAAGTCGAATAGCCCCGATTAAGAGAGTCACACTTCCAAGGTTGGAAATTTTAGGAGCATTTTTTGCATCAAGGTTAGTTTCGAAAATCACACTCATTTTAACAAATAATATTGTAAATTATCTGGATCAAATCTTATCCTTCCAAATGGTCCATATTTGTTTCCCCTAGGGTTAGTGAAATTCAAGAACTCACGAAAAATTATACTTGGCGACATAAATCAAAAGAAAATCCAGCGGACATACTGTCTCGTGGAATTTGTCCTTGTGAACTAAAGGACTCTTATCTGTGGTGCCATGGTTCTCAATTTTCACAACACCCGAATTTAAATCTCAATAATTTCACCAAGGTTAAAACAGACCAGCTCCTCGAAGAAAAATAGATAGTGCATTTTAATAAGGTCAAAGAGTTGGATTATTTTTATGATACAGTTCTTTCAAAGTATTCATCTTATATTCGACTCCAGAGACTTATCGCTTACTCCTTACGATTCAAAAATAATTCTCGCAAAAACTCTGAAAAAATGGTAGGGCCACTCTCTGTGCTAGAATTAAGATTGGAAGAAACTAAAATTGTTCATATAATTCAGTTGAAATTTTTCTCCGAAGAAATCCATAGTTTGAAATCTAAAAAATTTATGAAAAGTAAATCTTCACTGAATATTTTTCTGGATCAGGATTGTATTTCACGAATTGGCGGACCTTTGTCAAATACTCATGTACCTTATCATCAGAACTACCCTATTTTACTCCCATCAAAGTGCTTCCTCGTGAGATTCCTACTCCAAAGAGAACATATCAACCTTGGTCATTCTGATCCGCAAAACACTCTATCAAATATGCGTTTGAAATTTTGGCCTCTAGATGGCTTACGAGAAATTAAAAGAATAATATATAACTGCATCACTTGTTCTCGATTTAAGGCAAAGGTTGTTCCTCAAAAATCATGGGTGACTTGCGTAAGCAATGCCTCCAGATTTTCAGAGCATTTACAAATGTAGGTGTTGATTATGGCGGCCCATTTTTACTCAAAACTTCGAAGTTACGTCGAGCTCCTTTAAGCAAGTGCTACATTGCATTATTTGTTTGTCTAGTAACGTGAGCTGTGCACATTGAAGTTGTTTCTTCCCTCAGCACGGAGTCCTTTTTACTAACACTAACATGCTTCATTGCTCGGAGGGGTAAACCGGCCTTAATATAATATTCGGATAATGGTACGAATTTTTTGGGGGCAAAAAATCAATCAGAACAATTTTCTGAGTATTTTAAACTGACATTTCTCCATAGAAGAATGTTATTTCAAGGAATACTTATCATTGAGGCTTTCCTGAAATAATTGGTGAAAAGGTCGATAAAAGACATGATGAGACTGATGAGAGAGAAAAAAAAACTTAGGAATGGCAAGACTTTTGGGAGGCTTTCACTCGAAGTTGAGTTGAATACTCTCAAAAAGACATATTGTTCCTTTGAATTAGGCTATCTCGAGGCTATAGATGCCTATATCAAAATCTCAACTTTATAAATAAATTTCAAAGAGCAATTATGTCCTTAAAAGAGCAATTTTGTCGCGCTCTCTATTTAGATACACACCGGCAGGCAGCTGTATTACGTTATCCGAGGGAGTTCCTTTAAATTGCTCCCGCAAAAGGAGAGACCGTCTCACTCATAATTTATAACATAAAGAGAAGTAATGCCGTAATAGGCCCCGGTCCCGGCAAGACGGAGCACCCCCCATGATTTATTTCAGCTGTTTTACCCGCAAGCTTTGCATAATAGGTTGCCATTGGGCTGTTGCCTGCTCTTACCATTTAAGTGGACTAGCTGCTTTCCGAAATGGGCTATGACATCGGCTGGGTATTGAAATAGGTTCCTGTTGCATTTTTTCGACAATTTTAAAAATTACTTAGTACCTGCATCTGGATTATTATGTAGATGTGGCTCGTGAACCTAAACTTCAAGACAATTCGCACTTGAAAAAATCATTTCAACCACCACATATAAACATACTCTACTTTAATCTTCATCTTATGCATAATCCCAAAATTAAGTCAAAAAAATGATTAAGTTGACACCAAAAACTCGCGGCGGTTGTTATTATTATTTATGTTCGTCCAACTCTCGCTTTTTGGTCCGTAAAGTATGTAAAATTCGCCATTAAAACAGTTTTTAACGTAGTGCCCTAAAAATGGACTTCTCCTTCCCCGTATCTCCCTAGGCACGATTTTATCTCTAGACGCTTAATTCTTGCAACCAGCGCCTCGTCGCAGTCAAGTTTTGGTCTTAAATTTGTTTACGCCAACCGCAGATGGATTTTTAAATTGTCCGGCTTGTGCCAATTTTTTCCAAAAATTCAATCAAACACCAATCATAAAAAAAGACAACAACAAAAAGTACATAATAACAAGTATTCAGAATCACACAGTCAACATTATAAGGTTTATGAGCTACATAGCATCATATCCAAAAAACATTTTATCAATTTTCTCTTGAATGGTTCCAGTCTGTTGGATACTTCTAAAGAAAGCCCATTACGATTTTTGAGACCATTGTAAAATAATGTATTTTGCATCAAGCACACTTAGATGTAACAAAAACTAGGTATTCAAGTAGAGATATTCCTAAACAAAGACTAAAAAAACCTTGTAACTATCGCAGGAAGCAGTCGCTCATAATTCAGAGAGCTAAAATTTACGATAGAGTAAGAAGAAATTCTCAATAGTAATATAACTAGTGCAATGGAAATTATTGATAATTTTGACCGAATGCATTTTTAGTTGAAAAAGAGCACGAGTGCACGTAGTGCACGAGTGCCTTTTTCAGTTAAAAACGCATGAGTGCAAATTTGTCGAAAATTATAAATATATTTCCATTGCACGAGTTGTATTTAATGAGAGAATTTCATAAATCAAAAATTTAAATTTTTTGTCAAAAAATGTCAAAACACCAGTTTTCGTATGCAATTATCTGATAATTTGCACTAGTGCAAATTATCGCGTAATTACAATCTGATTGGTTCAAATCAACAATCAAAGCATGTCAATTTATTGTTGGAATACCAGTTTTGACAGATGTATGAAATTCTCACAGTAAATCCAACCAAGATATGTATGTATATACGCAGATAGAATTATATTTTTCAATTTCTCAAGGAATTCATTGGAAACTTATTACTAATGGTTCGAATAACTGGGAAACAATCAGTATCATAGATTTATTACTCTTTTACAATTGCCTAGCTTTTGAAGCCTTTCGCTTCTTCTTCAGGGCTATAATAATATAATATAAAATAAATAAAAAATTAATGTAATATAAATTAGAAATTAAATAAAAATTTTATAAACATTTTAAAAAACATACCTTGTAGTGAGTCTATCGATTTCTCTGGTTTTTTTCAAGTTTTTTCATTTATGATATAATATAGATTTTTATAAAAAATTTAATATAAATGTATAATGAAAATTATTTCAAAAAATGTAAAATATGGTATAATTTTTTTTTGAAAATTTTGATTTGTGTTTGATAGACTTGACAATATGACGAGGGTAATCTGTGAAGGTAATAAACCGGTATTGATTAATATACATTAGGAAGTTTTTTTGTCCAGAGATAACAAATAGGAATATAATATGCTCAAATTACTAATTTCTGTTCTTTCATTAATTGAATTTTTCTGTTTTTGTATTTCCGTCATTTCTAAAAATAATCTTTTATTTAAATTCTTTTCTGTTTGTAAAATTTTAATGTTATTGTAATAAGGTTGATGTCCAGTATCAAATGAATGTTTAGCTATAGCACTTGTTTCTTTCTGCAATCGTATATCACTTTTGTGTCCAGACATTCTGTTTTTTACGGTTTGTGATGTTTGACCTATGTAGATCTTATCACAGTTTGTGCAAGGTAATTCATAAACAACATTAGTTTTTAATTCTATTGGATCTTTATCTTTTAGTTTTGTATTTAAATTACCAATAGTTTTTATGATTTTAAAAGAAATTTTGACAGATTTATTTTTGAAAAGATAGGCAATTTTTTCTGAAAGTGTTTTTATGTATGGTATTGAAGCATAATAAAATCTTGGTTGTTGATTATTATTTTGAACATTAATAGAATTATTTTGTATTGTTGACCCGTTCGATGATTGGTTATTATTATTATCATTAATAATATTGTCGTTGAAAATTATTTTATTTAACAATGCATTTGGATATGAATTTTTTAATAAAATCTGTTTTAATTCTTTCAATGATGGATGAACTAATTTCTCAATTCTGTTTTTAAGTGTCAAGATGAGATTAATTTTGTGTCTATAACTACTGAAGACACAAGTGCATAAATGGTCTATGTAACATTCAGCAGATTCACAGAAATACCATTTTAACTTTCTTATCTTGGAACTTTTTTGTTACAGTAGATAGACAAATGAAATTTGCTGAGTATACTCATTTTATTTAGAAATTTTTTTTGGGTATACAAAAAAAAATGTTTTTCAAGAAGTTAATAGAAGTATGTGCACTTAGACCCTTTATCCAGTGATGTATAAAATAAAACAATTTATTTTTGCTGCATGACGGGTCTATGTACACAAAAATAAAACGGTGGCATTTTTTAAATGGTTATATTTCCATTGAACAACACTAATCTAAAAGCAGAATACAATGTAGGATATCTACAATACTAGTAACTCAAATAAACTATGTTTATAACACATTTTTTTTTACTTGGTCTTTCTTCGTTTGGTAGTGTCTTTTGTATAATCCTCATTATCCCAGAGTCTTGTATAAAAATGTCGGAAAGCTTCATCTATGTATGGTAGCTGTTGCTTTAAATTGTTGATTTTTTCAGCTGCTAACTCATTTTTTTTTGTTTTTTATTGGCAAGATAGTGTAGTCTTTGGCATTTTTGTATTCACTTCTATATTTCATAATGTCTACTTTAAGAAAAGGTGTATTCGGATCAAGAGAATCTTTATACATGTATTCTCCAAAATTTTCTACGCGGATCCATTTTACGTTATCCCTTAAGCAGACCTTTTCATTCAAGGAGTTCTTTTTTCTATTGAAAAGGTTCAGCTTTATTGGAATCTCATTCAGGTCTTTAAAATGATCCTTCATGTTTGTGACTATACTGTTGTTTTTACTTGCTGACTTTATTATATCTCTGTAATGATCCGCGGTAAAGACTTTCTCATGTTTCCTCATTTCCTTTTCGATTCTTCCAAAATCTCGATCGGAATCTAAAAAAGAATGTCCCACTTCCGGAAACTTGTGATCTATGATCTTCACATAGCCTTTTAAAATTAAGTATTGGTACAAGGAAATTATATTGAAATTTTTATTTTGTCCAGAACAAGAATCTGACCAAATTACTAAATGATCAATTTTTTTTTCGGCACTTAGAAGTTGTACAAATGTATGCAGAGAGCTTCCAATTTCCACACTGCCTTTTGTAGCAGTATCTTCTGTCCATGTAAAAAAGTAGGACTTGTCACCATCAGTTGAGATTGTGTGGATACCAAAATTGTAGAACCACATTTGCCTTAAGTAAAATGCTTTCGATGTTGTGATTCTTGGTAAGGGCATTGTCTGTTGTAGATCCATAGTAAGGTATAGTATATCTTTATTAATGCGCGCATATTGCCTATCCACTTTTTGTTGCTCAAAAGCAAAATTGAAATTTTCTGAATGTTCTTCACTTTTCAATCCAGAGTCACATGTGCTACACGTATCGGTTTTGGGAGTTGAGAAAGATAAATTGAATTCCTTTGAAAAAATGTAAGCATAAAAACTCTTTTTTACCAAAAATGCATTGTCTAACTTGTTCTCCTGCACACACTGCTTATAAAGCTCATACATCTTGGATATGTTTAGAAGTGGCGATAAATACTTTTTGTTGGCGTTTTTGTTTCGCGAATAGTGAGATTGTTCTGCAGGAAAGGAGTCTATATGTTTTTTAATAAAATCAACTACTTCGTCAGATTTTTTGTTAGGTCTAGAATCATGGCGGCCTCTTTTATCTGGGGATGGAGCTGTTATTCCAGAATTCAACTGGTTTTGCAATAACTGTATTTTTTTGTGAGAAATTTGGTACAAAGACATAAATGCTGTTTTGCAGACAGTAGCAATTTTTTTATTGCATGTCACTGTATAAGAAAATGTGGAACTCTTGTCGCTTGCTCGAATTTTTCGACGTCTCTTAACTGGTGCGACTCGAATTGATTTGAAGAGAAAAACATTTTTTGAATTTTGATCCAATTTGTAAAATTTTCTGAAAATTTCTTCTCTGTCATTAGAACTAAATTTTTCATTGCACCTTTTTCTGCATGAGTTTTTACAGAGTAATCCTAATTCAGGTGCTTTTTGTTGCACTTCTTTTTTAGTTTTTTGTGAAATATATGCTTTCCCTTGCTGCCTGGCTAATGCGGACACGTTTCTTGACCATGCTTCTGGACGAAGTACTCTTTTTCTTGATTTTTTTTCGGGCAAGTTGAATACTTTCTTCTTACCATTCACTGAATTCACATCAGAAGTCGTTGTTGGCTCTAAATCACAGGACACTTCAGATGCCGCTACTAAAATATTCTCTTTATCTTGAGGAAGAATGGAATCCTCTGCAGTAATGTGTTTCTTTGTTAAATTTCCACGATTAAAACTTTCTTCCTCGCTTTCTTCTTCAGAGCTATCATCGGAATCATCTAAAGCAGAATCATTACCGGGGTTATAATCATCGGAGGAGTTATCTGGAGAAAACGGATCATGCTCATTATCAGAAGGATCTAAAACAAAGTTAACATATAAAATTACAAAATTTAGTGTCATTTTTTTTACCAGTTAAATAATGTTCATCTTTATCAGGTGTCTTTTCTCTTTCTGTGAATTTAGCAGCCAGTTGTTCTTGTTCCTCTTCTTCGCATCTCGTTTTATCCAGTTTTTCCTGTTCTAGAAATTGAAGGTTTCAAAATATGTTTTCACAAAAAACTATATGTGCAAAAAAATGGGTTCAGATAGATTAAAGCTGGATTTATAGTGTCAGTATCAGTAACAGTAGCAGTAACAGTAAAATATTAAAACACGGCCTGCCGTAAAGCCATTTATAATTCACTTAACAAACTTAACAGTAAAACTTAAGAAATGGTTATTTTCATATCTGTTCTTAAGTTTTAAGTTTTACTGTTACTGTTACTGTTACTGATACTGACACTATAAATCCAGCTTCTTACATTCTTATTCTTAAGAGTGCCCAACACATAACAGCTCATTGAAATATTATTTTTTTATTTACAAAAAATATTTTGAACTAATAGTCCGGGGGCCGAGGACCTTTTTTCCAAATCATTAATAACAAGCTAGTTTTTTCAATGCAGCTTCATTTCACCGAGACGCCCAACTTTTTTCTCTTCGAAAATTGCGAAAACAGGTAGCTAACATACTGCGCAGGTGTAAAACATGTCGATTTGGTGACTATGAAAATTTAATTAATAACAGTTAGTTTTTCAGCTAAATGTTGAGATAATTTTATGAATAATTTGAAACAACATTTGTCCGACAAAATAAAGGGTTTGGTCTACGATGTCCCCCCCCCCTCAAACATGTAGCAATTACGTTGCATAAAAAATGATTAATAACAAGTTGATTTTTTCAATGTGGGTTGGTAAATATTATTACAATTAAATGGTCACACTGTCCTACAAATAAACAGGTAGCTATTTTCAGTCCTACACTCAAAAGTTGTCGATTTCACGATTTAACTTTTTTCATTAATAACCGGCTAAATCTTCGTGAGTATCTTCATTTTGATAAGACGCCCAAATTTTCTGTTGCGAAAATTCCAAAAACAGGTAGCTAACAGAGTGCGCAGGTGGAAAACATGTCTATTTGGTGATCATACAAATGTAAATAATAACAGTTAATTTTGTAGCTGAATGTTGAGATAGTTTCATAAATAATATGAAACAACATTTGTCCGACAAAATAAATGGTTTGATCTAGGCTCTCTCCCTTCTCAAACATGTAGCAGATACGTTACATAAAAAATGATTTATAACCAGTTGATTTTTTTAATGTAGCTTAGTAAATATTACTACAATTAAATGGTTACACTTTCCTACAAATAAAGAGGTACATTTCTCCAGTCCTACACTCAAAAGTTGTCGACTTCACGGTAATACTTTATTCATCAATCACCGGACACCGGCTTAATCTTCTCGAGCATCTTCGTATTGATAATACGCCTAACTTTTCTATTGCGAAAAGTTGCAAAAGTAGTAGCTACTAGAGTGAGCACTAGTGAGCACATATAAAATACCTTGATTAGGTGATTATGCAAATGTAATTATTAACAGTTAACAGTTAATTTTTCAGGTGAATAATGAGATAATTTTATAAATAATTCGAAATTCGATTTGAGCCACAAAATAAATGGTTTGGTCTTCAGTGTCCCCTTTCCCAAAAATGTAGCAATTACGGGCTCATAAAAAACGATTTATAACCAGTTGATTTTTTTACTGTAGTTTGGTAAATATAACTACAATTGAATGGTCACATTCAGGCCTATGATGTATCATTTTCTGTTATTTTAACAGCAACGTTAAGTTATCTATCACTGTTTATTTTACACGTAAAATTAGAAACAGGTATAGATTTTGAGCTATAACACAACTGTTAAAATAACAGGACAGGATACATCATAGGCCTGATTGTCCTAAAGAGGTAAGATTTCTCAGCCCTACATTCGAGAATTTCGAAAATAGCCTTATGCATATTATACGTAAATATGTACAGGGCTTTCATTTCAAAACTTACCACCCACGATATCTGCGTAAAGAGACAGATTTCTGGAAAAAAAGATTAAATTCAAGAATTTTACCTTTTGTATTTTGAAAAATATAATTATTAAAATATTTGATTTTTGATATTATTTGAAATGAACATACCTATCTCTTTTATTTTTGAGCTGTCGAGAAAATATTATTTGGGAGTTTCCCAAATGTATTTTTTTGAGTTCCACGTTATTTAAAAAGAGAAACTCTAACTTAGAAAACACCCTGTATTCACCCCATATACAGCAAAAAAGCGCGACAGATTTAATACATTAAAAAAGGAGCTCTATTTTTTATTAAATATCTTTAGAATTAAGATGAACCGGTTGGATCAAACCTTCTCCATCTGGGTATGGAAAATGACAAAGGGCATGGCCGCCTCTACTTTGATGGCATACCAAAACTCTTTTTCGAGCAATTCAAATCTGGCGCGCTTTTTGAATCACCCTATACTACGATACTGGGCGTGTTTGGGTTGAAGCTCGGCGGAGCGAGCAGAGCGATTACCGAGTAGCGTGACGTCACAAGGAGTACACCGTGTCAAGCCAAATAAACTCCTGCAAAAGTGCTGGGTTGAGCGATCAGCTGATTATTGTTTATTTTTTTTTAGGATATGTCTTTTTGAGTCCGAGTCCGTATTCCGCATTTGCACCAGAGTTTTCCACTGAGTTTTCTCGTTTGCCCCATTTTCTTTTGTGTTCTGCTAGAAATGTTGTGCTACATAAACAATAATGGACCTAACCACTGAGGCTGCCAAGTTCCCTTGGAAATATATGTTCAATAATACCAGTGATGAGGACTAATACCGAGAAAATTTGATTAAAAGTACAGAATTATGCAGAATGTATTCTGTATAATTCTTAACATTTAAACAAAATAGCTAAAACTATGCAGCTAACAAATAAATGTTGAAATTCAGGATTGTTTATTTATGTTATCATGTCATGGAAAATAGGTTAGGTTATACTAAACAGATTAAACACATATCTGCGCATGCACCCTCCAGCTGCCCACTCCACAAACTCGGAGTTTATCGAGCTCGCTCTGAGCGCTCAAAATAAGTCAAACCAAACACAATCAAGCGTTGTCGGAGCTTTAAAAATAACGGAAGAGAGACAAAAGTGCAAGCTCTGAGCGCACCGAGCGTGAACCCAAACGCGCCCACTGTGTTATTTACGAGCATGCGCGTCGATGCGAATGGAAACCATCGACAAAAATGTAGGATGTGTACATACACATAACACATATACTGTTATACACGCATCTGTATACGTACATATGTACATACAGGGGCTTTCATTTCGAAATTTGCCACCCACGTTATCTGCCTAAAGAGACAGATTTCGGGAAATCGCCGGAACACGTCAACAACAAATTAACGCACCCCCTCAATTATTATTATTATTATTATTATTATAATATGCATAAGGCTATTTTCGAAATTCTCGAATGTAGGGCTGAGAAATCTTACCTCTTTAGGACAATGTGACCATTCAATTGTAGTTATATTTACCAAACTACAGTAAAAAATCAACTGGTTATATATCGTTTTTTATGAGCCAGTAATTGCTACATTTTTGAGAAATGGGACACTGCAGACCAAACCATTCATTTTGTGGCTCAAATCGAATTTCGAATTATTTATAAAATTATCTCATTATTCACCTGAAAAATTAACTGTTAACTGTTAATAATTACATTTGCATAATCACCTAATCAAGGTATTTTATATGTGCTCACTAGTGCTCACTCTAGTAGCTACTACTTTTGCAACTTTTCGCAATAGAAAAGTTAGGCGTATTATCAATACGAAGATGCTCGAGAAGATTAAGCCGGTGATTGATGAATAAAGTATTACGGTGAAGTCGACAACTTTTGAGTGTAGGACTGGAGAAATGTACCTCTTTATTTGTAGGACAGTGTAACTATTTAATTGTAGTAATATTTACTAAGCTACATTAAAAAAATCAACTGGTTATAAATCATTTTTTATGTAACGTATCTGCTACATGTTTGAGAAGGGAGAGAGCCTAGATCAAACCATTTATTTTGTCGGACAAATGTTGTTTCATATTATTTATGAAACTATCTCAACATTCAGCTACAAAATTAACTGTTATTATTTACATTTGTATGATCACCAAATAGACATGTTTTCCACCTGCGCACTCTGTTAGCTACCTGTTTTTGGAATTTTCGCAACAGAAAATTTGGGCGTCTTATCAAAATGAAGATACTGACGAAGATTTAGCCGGTTATTAATGAAAAAAGTTAAATCGTGAAATCGACAACTTTTGAGTGTAGGACTGAAAATAGCTACCTGTTTATTTGTAGGACAGTGTGACCATTTAATTGTAATAATATTTACCAACCTACATTGAAAAAATCAACTTGTTATTAATCATTTTTTATGCAACGTAATTGCTACATGTTTGAGGGGGGGGACATCGTAGACCAAACCCTTTATTTTGTCGGACAAATGTTGTTTCAAATTATTCATAAAATTATCTCAACATTTAGCTGAAAAACTAACTGTTATTAATTAAATTTTCATAGTCACCAAATCGACATGTTTTACACCTGCGCAGTATGTTAGCTACCTGTTTTCGCAATTTTCGAAGAGAAAAAAGTTGGGCGTCTCGGTGAAATGAAGCTGCATTGAAAAAACTAGCTTGTTATTAATGATTTGGAAAAAAGGTCCTCGGCCCCCGGACTATAATTTATTGCCAACAAATTTTAAAGGCAATTCCACTCATGTATAAATAATCCCATTTAAATTGTCAAAAATTGTAGTTTGCTAGCGGATAAATAGGAAGGAAGAGAAAATATAACTGGATAAAAAAATCGGATAAATTTTCTGTTGATGCAATCGTTACCATAGTAACAATTGTATATTAAATTGGTTTTTGAATCATCTGTCAAATAATTGTGTCACAAAAATTCACAAATTCGATCATTTCAGCCTCGATTTTAGCTTATTGAAAGTGTTTTGTTATCTGAGATAAATAAATATTTTGTTTTGATTTCACATTCGTGGAATTGCCGTACTAAATACCATTCGAGCTCAGATTTTGAGCAGGATATTTTTTTGCTTGCTCTCTCATACTTACTTTCACGCAATTTATCTCGATCTGTTCAACAAAATCACTCGAGCTGCGCTCTCGTGATTTTGTCGGAACAGAACTCGTTAAATTTCCTGAAAGTAAGTATTCGAGACCAAGCCAAAAAATATCCGGCTAAATCTGAGCTCTTATGGTATTACCTATGACAATTTTAAATTGCAGTATAAGCATATTTTTACTTACCTTTATATATTTTTTGTCCTAGTTGAAGTAAAAATTTACTTCTTGCTGACATTTTTCATTTGGTAATATTATTTTCATCAAAAATTATAAATATTTCACTAAACGTAAACAAATGCACTGATTGTATTTTAACACAAATAAAAGAAACATAACCTCACTTAAGGGTCTATGTAGGATATGCCTGTCAGCCGGATTATGAAATATAGTGCATAAGGGGTCTAAGTAACAGTTTTCCAAGATATTATGTTGCATAAAGGGTCTATGATTCATTTGTCGTACATAGATCCTTTATGCACTGTAAACAGGGGGAACTCCATGCTTCATAGACCCTTTATCAGTTACTAACTTTCTCAACAGTGATTATACAGTCATTTAACCTTGTGCAAAATAATTGTATACCCCAAAACCTCAAAAAACTGAAAAATGTGAATTTTAAAAAAAAATGTCACTTAGACCCTTTATGTACTTGTGTCTTCAACTATGATATGAGTTAAAATTAATATATCTTCCAGAATTTGTTGCTTTAATATACCAATCCGTTATTAGAGTTTGGTTATTCCGTATAATTTTTGTATCTAAAAACGGAATAGTATAGTTATTTTCAATTTCGATAGTAAATTGGATTGAATTATTGTAATTGTTAAATATATCCAAAATTTCTTGGTGTTTATCAAAAGGAACTGCACAAACAATATCATCAACATATTTTTTTAAAAAAGGTATCTCAAAAGAAAGTGTTGGTAAACAGTGTTCAATAAGATCATCTAGAACATATTGAGCTATTATTGGAGAAATACTGCTATCCATTGGTGTACCTACCTAATATTTGCTTGTAGAATGAGTTGTTAAATTTTAAATAATTGGTATTGAAAATAAATTGAATGATTTCTAAAAATTTTGTTTGTGTGATTTTACAATAATTTTGAATGTCATCCCATCTTTTGATTATACTATCGTTTACTAAATGAATTGGTATATTACTAAAGAGAGAAATAGCATCTAAACTTATCAAAATATAATTTTTGTCATACGCTCCCAAAAACAGCTATTTTACGGACTCATTCAAGTCCGTAAAATGCTTCTTTTTAGGCCTAGTCCCTAAAAGTCGTCATGGCAACCTTTACGGACTATTCCAAAATTCCATAGAATGTCTAAATTCAAAAAAAAAAACAGCTTCCATTATTTGTATTACTTATTTATATAGTAACAACATCAAAAGCTAACAACTAAAGTAGGTAATCTAATAATTATTTGACTGATAAGTTATTTGGAAAAATGAAAATGGAATGAACAATTTTGTGCATTTTGAAAACTGGTATCTGTGAACGAAATTACTTCTTTCCCATTGTCAGGTAAATCTATTTTCTGAGGTGGAGCAAATGCGAACGATGTGGATGTACCGTGCGTTCAATTTATCTTGATAACATTTTAATTCGCTGTAACTTTTTTGTTTTTGAAGGTATCAAGGTAAATAAAAAAACAAAATGTAGGGTTGGTAGCCAAGTTTTTTTTCAAGTTACCTATAAAACAAAACACTATCAATTTTCTGACATATGAGCCAACATTATATTTTTTTAAATGGAACACTCTGTATATTATATTAGTGTTTGATAGAATATCTTATTCCGATTACAATGATATAATACACTCCATATTTTAGTCCACTCGTTTTTGACAAATCGGCAAAAATATATGAAACTTTTGAAGTGAAACTTATTAGGCGGCGATCTGATATTTGGGGAGAGAATCATTGATAGTGCATATAAAAATATCATATTTTTGCCGATTTGTCAAAAACGAGTGGACTAAAATATAAAGTGTGTTATATCATTGTAATCGAAATAAGATATTCTATCAAACGCATATATAATATACAGGGTGTTCCATTTGAAAAAATATAATGTAGGCTCATATGTCATGAAATTGATAGTGTTTTGTTTTAAAGGTACCTTGAAAAAAAACTTGGCTACCAACCCTACATTTTGTTTTTTTGTTTACCTTGATACCTTCAAAAACAAAAAAGTTACAGCGAATTAAAATGTTATCAAGATAAATTGAATGCACGGTACATGGTGAAACATCCGTGGAAGTGGTCACGATTTTTTTTTTCTCCCATAAGCAGTTTGCAAACTTTCTTCTTTTTCTCAATAGATTCTTCTATATAACCTTCCGCCACTGTGGACGACCTAAATAATTATTGTTGTTTAAAACAAGTTCGAAAAATATTAATATTTTTACCTCCAACCTCCCAGGCGTTTGAACGCTGTAAAATCCACACCTGCATCTGCGACAAGAGTAGCAGCGCTACGTCGGAAACAATGACCTGTATATTCGTTCGGGTTTGGTAAATTTAAAAATGTTGCTACAATTGAAGGCATCTTTCCGAATGAATGAATGCCGACCCGTTGCATGGTGCATTTTCCTTTACGATAGGAGATGAAGACATAATCATGAGGTACATTTTTTGGCCGAAGACAAGCATATTTTCTATACAACTCAACTGAATTGGCACTGTTCCCTTCGCCCACCACCGGAAATACTCTTTTGATATTAGTCTTCGTATCTGCAAGAGTGACTAGAAGGCAGTTGTTGTCTTTTTCTGTGATGTCTTGCACTTGTAGAGAGTGCAATTCCTCTCTTCTACATGCTCCACAAAGACCAATGACAAGAGCAACCTTAAGATGAAATGAGATACAATAAAAAACCACCTACCTATTTAAAAATCATCTCCGCCAACTAACCTTAGTAAGTAAATAAGTTTCATCACTAGCCGTAGCCAGAAATTGATCGATCTCTTCTCTGGACAAAACCTTAGACTTCTTAGGCTCGTAACCAACCGAATTCCTCTTCAAAAAAGCAATTACTCTTGGAAATTGGTCAATGTGGATATTTTCTTTAAAGTGTGATTTATAAACTCCACCGTTCCCGTCACCGTTCGTTGTTCCCGTTCCCGTTCCAACTTCAAATATAGGAAATTAATGTAAGCATTTATATCCACCGTTGCCGTTCTCGTTCGTCGTTTTCCTCGCGAACGGCACCGTTCCACCTTGGTTAACTTTTAACTCGACCGTTCGTCGTTCGTGCAGTAGCCAATCAAATTAGACAATTTTGGTCATGTGATTCAAGATAAATATATTGGGTTAGGATGTGTTTTTGTTTGTGTTGTGTTTTCTAATTTCCAAAGCAACACAGTTGAGGTGGTGTAGTGAATAGTGATTAGTGAATCCTATTTTATTTATATTTAGGTACCTATTATTTATTTACAAAAAATGATATAAATCTAACCTAAAAATGTATACATTTTGTCAGCGGGAACGGCAACGGTTTAGAGTTTATAAATGCTCAGAAACGACACGAACGGTGACAACGAACGGGAACGGTGACAACGAACGGTGACTGAGAGTTTATAAATCAAGCTTTACACTTAACACTGCTTTCAGCATGGAATATTTCGACCAAACTGTCGACGGTTTGAACGTTTGCGACTGTAATTTAAGAGAGAATTTTAATGGAAAAGCCTTGAAATACGCGTAAGTAGCTATTCAGTTTTTGAAATGTTTACTTACTTTTTCGTGTAAATAATTCAGCAACACATCTTCATTTACAACGAATATACCATTTTCGTGTTTCCATTCAATAAAAGCATCATATTCCTTATGGTAAATGGCCCGAGACTTCCTAGGTAGTAAATCCAATACGATTTCTAAGCCTTATCAGCAATATATTCCGGATTTTGGAACATTTTATGTGAGTTTTCACAAACAATTCTGATGACCTCTAACAAATTTCAACGATTTCAACAAATGATAAAATCACAGAACTTCAGCCAACTTTTGCAAACTTACCATAGAAACTGACAATCATGTTCTGCAACGTTCACACTTCGCGAATCTTTTGCGCTGTTTATTGAACTTTCTGGATGCACCTTTATGATTTCAAAAATTAAGGAAAATCTGCAAATTTTAGCGTTCTGAAGAATTCTAAAAAGCGTATGACAAAAAATAGTGTTTGTCACACGTACCTAAATGAAGTTTTTCAGGACGAATCATTGCTGTTTCCGGACGAGGCGTTAGCCGAATTGTGACAAAAATAACTATTTCAGGAATTTGTTTGTCATTTATAAATTCAGAAAATTCAAATGAATCTTTTATGTAAAAATCATTATGAGTATTCAAGGATCTTTTCAAAAGATTATTCATAAAATTTGTTAATTTTGTATTTGGAGTATCAATTGATGAAACTATAGGTCTTAGTGATAATGTAGGTTTATGAATTTTAGGTAAACCATAAAATTTTGGACATGTTATATTATGTGATTTTAACTGCTTTGCTTCCAATTCATTTATCATATTGGATCTTTCTAATTGAGAAATTAATTTATTATATTGATTTTCAAAAGAGGTCGTCGGATTTTTTTGTAATTTTTTATATGAATTTTGGTCATTTAGAATATTACTAGCTAAATCTTCATAAGAGTTTTTATCCATAATTAATAACAGTAACATTACCTTTATCTAATTTAGTGAGAATTAGTTCATGATGATTTTTGATTTTTTTTTTTTGTTTTATAGAAAAGATTATTCAAGTAATTTTGTTGATAAGATTTTTTCTCGATATGATTCGTTATTAAATTAGTAATATTGGCTCTAAATAATTTTTTTTTTATCATAATTGAAATTGAAAGGTAAAGATTCAATATCAGATAATAATTTTGAAATTGATATTTCTTTAGTTGTTGGTTCAATACTAAATTTATAGCCTAGTGATAATATTTTTTTAATATCGTCTGGAATTTCTACATTTGTTAGATTTTTTAGCCAATTTTCTTCCACTTTTATAGTATTTTGATAGTGTAGTTTCAATGAATTAATTTTATTGATATTTTTTCTTTTTATTTTATTGAAAATTTGATATTTGTTTTTTTGTTTTTGTAGAAACTCGTAACTTATATTTTGAGGTAAAATGTTTTGAATTTCAGAAGTTAAATTTGTTAATTCTTTTTCGATTTTGAAAATATTACTAATAGTGAATTGTATTTCAAGATTCAATATT